TCTAACAACAAGAGCTTCTGCTTCGAAACTTGTATTTTCTTGTTTGTCTTTCTTTCTCAATTCATAACTATACAAGGCATCAATTACTTCACTGAGAGACACATCAACCTTCCTATGAAGTAGAGTAGTTTCAAGATATTCAAACTCATCAGGAAGTGATCCCATCAACATCAGAGCCAGATCTTTGTCTTCAAAAGTCACGTCCATATTCATCATATCAGTCGCCAGCTGATTAAAGCTAGTAATGTGATCATTTATAGTGGTACTTGGTACATAGTTGAAGTGGAACAATCTCTTTTTCATGTAGAGCTTGTTCTGTCCGCTTTTCTTAAAAACTTTCTCCTCCAGCGCCTTCCACAATTTACTTGCAGAAGTTTCCTTAGAAAATGCATACTTCTTCTCTCTAGAAAGACACGTTTGAATAGTACCACATGCCAATCTATTGATCATCTTCCATTCTTTCTCCTCAATATCATCTGGTTTCTCTCCTTCAATCGCAATGTCTAGACCCTGCTAAATAGGGCATCTAAAACCTCACTTTCCCACATATCGAAATAACCAGTGCCATAAAAAATCTCCACTGTAAATCTAATATTTGTCACAACATTTCTTGCCAAAATTGAAGATGAAGAAGCCGTTGACGATGATGTGGATGTTTTTGTGTCATCTGCAATTTCTGCTACAAATTCTATTTAATAGCTGTCAATGCAAAATGTCAATTAGCCCAAGGAAAATTTTTTCTGATGTGGAAGATCAGCCTAAGTCACAACCACAGAGCATACTAAAATAAACAAAGAGTTCGGATACCAAATTGTTTTGGAATTCGGGTTAATTTCCACCAATAATAACAAATTCACCTTGAAAACTATTATCTAGGTGACTAGTGTAAAAACGATTGTTCTAAAAATCACCCCAAGGTAGATTCCCAAGAAAGAGTGGAGGGGTCACAATGGTACCTCTTAAAACCCACTCTCCTTAGACAGAACTACCAAGACAAGTAATTTGAATAGGACAATAATTAACAACAACTATACCCGACAATAGCTATTAAATAGAGAACACCAAAATTTAACGAGGTTAGGCTAAAATTATGCCTACGTCCTCGAACACTACTAAAATAATATTTCACTAATAGAGGAAATATTACAAAGAGAGAGAAAGAGTACAAATAGCCTTTAATATAGAAGAAGGCTTATATTTGTGGGATATTAAACTAAGGAGGAGGGCTCTATTTATAACAAAAGAATTTCCCATTCTCCTTATACAAAACCAATGTGGGATTCAAAATTTGCTAAAAACCCAACAAATATCCACATTGGCAAATTCCACACACATCTCTCAAAAAATCCAATCTTCGGTAGTGTCTGCAAATTCATCTTTCAATTTGTAACAATATTGACCAAGTATAAACAATGTTTAAACTTGACCGCATTTACTATTTTTGTCAACATATCAGCAGGATTCTCAGTGGTCCGAATCTTCTGGATTCTTACTCCACCTTCTTCTAGAATCTCTCGTACAAAGTGATATCGAACATCGATATACTTCGTCCTTGCATGGTAAACCTGGTTCTTTGCTAAATGAATAACACTCTGACTGTCACAGTGCACTTTGATGTGCTTCTGTTTCATTCACATTTCACCAAGCAACCCTTGAAGCCAAATTGCCTCCTTCACAGCCTCTGTAACTGCCATATACTTTGCCTCTATTGTAGACAAAGTCACTGTTGACTATAAGGTGGACTTCCAACTAACTGGTGCTTTTGCAAATGTAAACATATAACCAGTAGTTGATCGACACTTGTCCAAATCACCTGCATAGTCTGAATCACAATACCCAACTACACATTGACCATCTTGTTTGTCCTACTGCAAGACCAAACCAACATCTACGGTGTTCATAATATACCACATAATCCATTTCACAGTTTGCCAATGCTCCTTTCCAGGATCATGCATATACCTGCTCACACCCCAACTGCCTGTGAAATATCGGGTCTCGTACACACCATTGCATACATCAAGCTACCAACAACACTTGCATACGGAACCTTTGACATGTATTCCCGTTCTGCATCATCCTTAGGTGACATGGATGCACCGAGCTTGAAATGAGGAGCAAGAGGTGTACTAACTGGTTTTGACTTCTCATTCATGCCAAAACGTTTTAGTACCTTCCTCAGATATTCTTTCTGAGACAAACAAAGACTCCCCAATTTCTTATCCCTTGATATCTCCTCATAATCCCAAGTATGATGATGCAAATTATTGTTGTGGAATTCGGGTTAATTTCCACAAATAATAACAAATTCATCTTTAAAACTATTATCTAGGTGACTAGTGTGAAAACGATTGTACTAAAAATCACCCCAAGGTAGATTCTCAGGAAAGAGTGGAGGGGTCACAATGGTCCCTCTTAAAACCCACTCTCTTTAGACAGAACTACCAAGACAAATAATTTGGACAATAATTAACAACAACTATACCCCGACAATAGCTATTAAATAGAAAACACCAAAATTTAACGAGATTATGTCAAAATTATGCCTACGTCCTCGAACACTACTAAAATAATATTTCACTAATAGAAGAAATATTACAAAGATAGATAAAGAGTACAAATAGCCTTTAATATAAAAGAAGGCGTATATTTGTAGGATACTAAACTAAAGAGGATGAGGGTTCTATTTATAACAAAAGAATTTTCCCTCCTTATACAAAATCAATGTGAGATTCAAAATTTACCAAAAAATCAACAATTTTTCTGTTATATTTCATGCGGCTCATAAATACAAAAATATAACTTAAATAACAAAAACATAAAATTATGATAAAAGTATATGCGAATATATCATCAAAGTTCAACAAAATAATAAACATACGTATAAATCACATCAAAATCTCAATTATGCAAATTTATCTTGAGTGTAATGGTATACAAGTACGAAGCCAAGATTAAATTATGAAATAACAATTATAGATTTAAATAACAGTCCGCTGTTGAAATAGTTGTTATATATCCATCGCCGTAGCTGGACCTAGCAGGAGGGGCACCTGCCAGCGCCACAAATCAAAAAGCTAATATTTTTATTCAAATATAATTAGTTTTTAAACAGTATGGGTGGGCCCCAAATAAAAAAAAAGTAATATTTTTTTTCTAATGTACTTAATTTTTAAACAGTTCGAGTGGGATCCAAATCAAAAACTAATTTTTTATTGTAATATAATTAATTTTTAAACAGGCTGGGTCGGCCGCATTTTTTTATTGTAATAATTTTTTTAAATTATATTATCAGAGGCTCCACTTTTAAATTCGTCTTGGGCCATTGAAATATTAAAAACGACTTCTATATAGTAGTTAAGATGTCATTTGAATTTGTTATTGTGTAATCAAAATATCCTAAATAGCATACATTATTGTCATAATCTTGATAAATGCTGTGTATCCAAAAATGTTACTGTAATCATAATTTAAATCCTTGAGGAGAATTGTTTGATTTTAAAATAAATATGATCTTAAAAAATAATTAAAACATAAAAATTAAGAGATTGATAGTTTAATTTTACTAATTTTAGAATTTAGAAGTCTGAAAAAATGATTAAATCACATAAATTTTGGGTAAAGACTTAATTCTATTAAGTTTAAAACTTACATTGTCCTAAAAATAGTTATACCATGAAATTTGGGGACAACGACTTAATTGTAATAGTTTCAAAATGTCTAATAACCTAAAATGTAATTAACCCGTTAATATTTGGGGAGGAGGGTGTTGCTCCTCTCATCCATAAGGTGGTTTTATCTCTGGTGGTATATATTTACTCTATTATATTTTATGAAGTTCATAAATATAAACATGTAAGCCAAATAGTATGATATAAACATTATAATATGTGAACATGAATCATCAAAGTTCAACAGAATAACAAACATACACAAAGTACTTTTACATTGTAATTTAAACAAACATAATATATGAAAGCTATCATATCCATAATATTCAAATTATTCATTTAAAGATTATATCAAAATGTCTAATTACATGTGTTCAAATAATTAGATATTCAGATAGGCACACATCACTCGAGATAGATAATCAAATCATAATCTTAGATGTTTGATAAGTTTTTGTGATTATCACTTATGATCACTGATCATCATCGTATGACTTTATTCATAGATTTATAAATATAACATTAAATATTTGACAAGGGCGTTTATCATTTTCTAGGTTAATAAATGAAATACACACGTACATGTATTCAACGCTCAAATTCTAAGTCAAGTATCGTGACCATCAAAAGCTAGGTAATAGCCCTTCTTCTAACACCAGGAACCTCCAAAATAAGACGAACTGGGATAATCTTTCTTGAAACTTCAACCAAGAATCTTATAGACAGTGCTGAAACAAGTAATTCAAAACGATGGTAGGCAAAGATTCATGTAGGCAGAGTCAGTGTTTCAGGTTCAGAATTTACTACTACTCTCTTTTCTAGTCTTTATTAATGAATAAGAAAAAAAAATATAGGCCGAATAGAATAGATTCCCTTCCCAAAGGAAGCTGGACGCCTCACATTTTCCCCTCTTATAGTGCAGGGATGACTTTTAAATATTTTTTTATTAGTGTAAGAATTCAAGATACCCAATATTTATATTAAGTTGTAATTAAATTCGAAATAGAATTAACACGGGCTCTTAAACGAGGGGTAAAATTTTGTTTATATTATTTCCTTTATTTACATTTATTTAATTCATGAATCTATCGACTGATCTTAGTGATATAAGGAAATATTATTTCTCTTAGAGGTCTCAGATTTGAACAGCTACATATATGTAGTATTAATAACTAAAAAAATAATTTAAAACTAATACTACCTTATCATCCTCCTAAATTCATATTATAGTGCAAATTCGTCTGAATCGCTTTCTTCATTGTATGCATGGGTAAAGCTAAAGCAGGCATCTTTCCTCCTGTCCCCCATCAACATCGAAACCAAGAAAGACCACAAGAAAATATTATACTCCTGTTTTTTATTAGTTTAAGAGAAAAGAAAAGCATCGCAACAAGCAATGTTTGTTAGGTTCAAGTTTGAGATGCTTCATCAAATTTTCATCATTAGTTCATCCTTGTCCAATACATTCTATTACACTTAAACAAACATGAATGTCTTGATTCCTCCAAGATCCCAAACAAAAGCAGTACGAAAGGTCCTTAATGGCCGTTGAGCAGTTCAACCCTCTTTCCTAGTTACCCTGTCATTTTAACCTACCGATTAGAACCAATGATCTGAATCCGGATTACTATTTTATCTTGAATATATACGGATAACTGTTGTAATAATTCAAATGACTGCACAATATATTGCAAAGAATAACATTTGATGTGCAGTAAAACCTTCTCACCTGAAGCAATAAATTCCCAGGGATGTTGTAATTTCTCGAGTGACTGATATGGCGAAGTGCAAGTAAAATGACGCTGTTTAACAAAAAAGGAGAATTATCAGGCAAAATATAACAGTATCCGATACTCGCATCCGCATTCGAGTATCTAGACAGACTAAATAATGAAAGCAGTGATACCTGTGAATACACAGTAACCAAGAAGAACCCAGAATTCATCTACTAAAGGAACACTGGACAGGGAAAAAAATTGGAAAAAGCTCATATGCAGAAGTTCAGGGTATAAAGCAAATGTCTGGTCCCTCGTACAGTTGCGCGACCACTGCTGGATCCTCCCATTCTGGTATATGAAGGGTCTCGTTCAGTTGTGTGACCGATCACAGTACCGAACTTGAGCAGCAGCAATATAACCAATATGATGGTAGTGACAATCGCAATTAAGAGACAGACAGCAGAAAATGTTTCGATTATTTCAATTGAGAAACCCGGTGTCGGATTTTTGGCTGAAAACATATATAGGAAAGCCGCCGCTGAGCCTAGATTGACCTTTAACAGTTCTGCGAAAACGTCATATTAGCACGACCGCTACTATTGTTGGCTGCAAAAACAAAACAAGAGTTAAATATATATAAACCCTACGCCTTGTTAATAAAAAATAAATAGAAAACTCAATAAATTGCAACTCCAGTAATGCAGCATGACATTCTCATGCCTTGCTCTTCTATTGTTGAAATTTAGTAACTACAGCAGCACATGCTCAAGCGAGATCAGTAGTTAACAATATGGTCATATGTGTCAGCTCCCCTAGAGTCAAATTATTGACTCTTTGATAGAAAACACCATTTCACCATCTGATAGACAAGAGAGTTCTGGAAAGTGGGATTTCAGTAATACGACAAATTGAGAAACAAAATCTGAATTTGCGGGGATCATGGTTGTATTACAATGTGAGTCAACTTACACAACAAAACAAAAGAATATTAAATAAACATTCTGCAGACTAAGACCAGTGTTGATACAGATAGCTGTTAATAATTGCATCTTTTATAGTGTTCAACAAGAAAATCAGGGTTTGGTAATGGCTACTGTTAAATCTTGTTTTTTTTATTGATGTGCTTGTGGTTTTCTTCTCTTTGGTTGCTCCAATCACAGGTTGTAAAAAATGTTGCATCTCAATCTTTGGAAGTAAAGAAGCTCGTTATTTGTATCTACTGCATTATGCTGAAAAGTATGTTTCTGAAATTTCCCTCATTTAGAGCGAATATTCTTGTAAAATTCCTACAGCTGCATCCATACGTTAAAGAAGCAATATTAGTAAATCAAGGGAGTATTAGAACACATATATCTCTAATTACATTGGTTGGTAATGGGATCAATTTGTTGTCCATAGCAGGTAAGATGAGAGTAGTAAATAGTTATTAGATCATGGTTTTTTTACGGGCTTTTCAAGGTTAATTAATTATAAGCCCCATTCTGCTTCTTGATAAAAGCAGCGCTTGAGAATGTGGAAATTCATTAACTTAAAATATGAGAGTGCACCAAAGGAGAGCAGACTATTGAATGGACTATATTTTTGGTGTTTAAGCTGGTAGACTGAACTTATGGCTTATTGTTTCTAATTTAGTGTATCTCTAAGGTGCATACAATCACAAGTACAAGAATAGTCCGACACATACAATAATATTCATACACCAAATCATCAACGGTATTTTCATGTAAATTTCATGAAACAAGCATCCGAAGCACATATTCCAAAGCATGACTATTCTGAGGCAAATACTTATTCCGAAACACATATAATTCAATTCACAATGTTTTCATGAAATCACATTTTATTTCCAAAGCATATATTCCGAGAAAACAACACAATCTCATATCATGTAAGCACAATTATCTTCCGATTCAACAGTTAAACATGCATCACAAAACATGATTACTTAAACTGAATCATCACAATCAACCTCATAATTATACATGCTCTCAATCTCAATGCCGATCAGCCAAGCAAATAACAACACACAAGTAATATAGCAAAGACACACCTCGACAGAAGCTAACGTCAATAATAACCTCTACCGCGGTCAGCTCGAGCAGTGGGTATTTGCGTTCCCGGTTCAGAATGTCCTGCAAATTTTTTCGTTCGAATCAGTATCTAATTAATCCAATATTTCAGATTAATATAACGACGACAATAATGATTTTCCCATTCGAAACAAAAACCGGCAGCCGGTATTTGGGTTCGAATATAATTTCTACCAGATCAGAAAATGGGACTGCCGGCGATGAACTTCACCGGCAGCAGTCCCCATCGGTCGGGAATGAAACAGCCATCCTTGTCGTGGCCTTAAACGACCTGCGAAGGCGCTCACGGTGGTTGACAGTAAACGGCACCAGCTTCCAGATCCGTTCCAGAGGGTTTCCCGCGGCCAAACGACCACATTCAGTCGCAACCCGGCCCATTAAAGGCCTCTCCGACGTGAAACCGGACTAAAAATACCCGGAAACGACCGCACCACGGCAGCGTTGGCGACGGGTTTTGAGCCACGCTCGCAATTTGTAATAAACGCCTCCAACGAGTCGACGAGGGCAGAGCTACGACGAGTGGAACTTAAGAACGAAGTAGGCGGCGAGAGTTACCTGTAAACGGCGTGAACCGCGGCGCGGTGGCGGAGAGAAGGTGGCTTCTGCTAGGGTTTGTGAGAGAGGAAAATGGGGAGCCGCACAATAAAAAAAATAGAAAATAACCTCAGTGACCAAAAATCTTATATAATATACGATTTTAACCAATTTTTTTTTTGATTTGTCAAAATGACCAACAAAATCGCAATGCGATCGCTAATTCGCAACGCGATCTCCATTATCGTAAATCAGTTTCCAAATTCGCAACGCGATTATGACTATCGCAATGCAAATTTCCAATTTCGCGTTGCGATTTTCCCAATTCGCAATGCGAATAAGTAAATCGCAATGCGAATTTGGAAAATCGCAATGCGATACTGACTATCGCAATGCAATTTTCCTAATTCGTATTGCGATTTACGTATTCGCGTTGCGATTTTCATAATTCGCAATGCGAATACGTAAATCGCAACGCGATTAAGTAAATCGCAATGCGAATACGTAAATCGTAATGCGAATCTTACTATCACAATGCGATTTACATAGCGCCATTCGTATTAACGCGTATTTTTTTTTTCAAATTCCAAACACGAATTTTTTCTTAATATATCGGAAACTGAACCGTCCACAGTAATCGTAACTCATAACCTCAAACCTAAAATCACAACACTCAGTCCCATCTCCATCTCTCACTCTCTAAGGCGAAATCCGTCCCCATCTCCGAAGATTTCTGTCCCTATCACCGGCGAAATCCCTCACAACCATTCACGGTCAGAAATCCCTCACAATCATTCAGAAATGGAAAATCAACCTCCGAGGGTTAGTTTTTTTAATTATTTTTATTTTGAAAATTTTGTATTATTTTAGGTTTTTCATATTGAAATTGATGATAAGTTTACTGGTAATTTCAATAATAGATTAACCATTTCACTTAGATTTCTTATTAAATTCATTCGATTGCTGCCAATACTGCTAAACTGTTTAGCCTGTGAAGTTAGTATTTGTCTTTGTTTTGTCTTTTGGTTGAAGTAATGCAGAAGAAGAATAGTTTCGAGAATGAAAATCACAACGCGGAAATAACTATCGCAACGAGAGAATCGCAACGCGAAATGAAAATCGCAACGAGATAATCGTAACGCGAAACCAAAATCGCATTGCGATTTTCATTTCGCGTTGCGATTTTCATTTCGCGTTGCGATAGTCATTTCGCGTTGCGATTCTCTCATTGCGATAGTCATTTTGCGTTGCGATTCTCTCGTTGCGATAGTCATTTCCGCGTTGCGATTTTCATTATCTCGTTGCGATTTTCATTTCAACCAAAAGACAAAACAGTGTTGCAAATTTTAGTTTCAAGAATAAACTACTATTTATGTTTATTGTTTTTGGTATATCTTCACAGTGTAGTTTTTGGTATATCTAACTTGGTATGTTTATTGTTTTTGTAGAAAAAATTTTCGACTTCATTGACATTAAGGAATAAAGTTAGCCTAGCCACTACAATTGCTTCGAAGCTTTCACCTGCACAAAGAAAATTATTTGAGGAAACCTGCTTCGGGCCATGGCTGAGAGTACAGCATCCGGGCCATGGCTGAGAGTACAACATCCGGGTGGAGATGCTAATTTGACCCATTTGTGGCTTCAGACCATGACTAGCGATCTACCCGACAATATATAACGTGGTGAGGAAGAGATATGGTTTCATTTTCCACTGGCGTATACTTGTTTTGGGCGGAAGGAGTTCTGCTTAATCACTGGTCTACGATTCGGACACGATGATGTAGGCCGGTACACTCGTCATATCACCCGCCCATCATGGTTATCCAGGGTTTTTCCTGATGAGTCAATAGAGAAGCCGAACTTACACGTCGACGACATGAAGAAATTGTTTAATAAGAAAGATGGTTTTACTCGGATGAATGACGTCGATGTTGTCCGAGTATGCCTTCTACTACTTTTGTATGCCGGCTTTTTAGGCAGAGAGACCAGACAACCTATTCCTCATGAGCTAATATTATTGGTAGAGGACCTAAATGCATGGAATCTGTTTCCGTGGGGTTCGTATATATGGAAAGCTACATGGACTAAGTTGTCGTCTGCCTTTGATGACCGCAAAAGTTTGCGGGGCGATGGGTCGAAATACACTTTGTCAGGTTTGTTTGGGCCTTTAAAGTAAGAATTTCTATATAATGTTTTCAAAATTATAATTAATTATTTAACAATTACTAATGTTTGTTATTATATTGTTTGTAGATTTGGATATTCGAGGCTTTCCCTAGCATGCGGACATATGTATTAAAAACCTCAAATGATATTCCTAGGGCTATTTCCTGGAAGAGGAAACGTCTGTTGGATTGGGAAGACTTAATATCATATGCGACAATAAATAATGTAAGTTAACACAAATACTATCATATATAAACAAGTTATTAATAGTAGACGTTTAACTTTGTTTGAGTTTTTATATTTTTAGGAGGCCAACATTCCATTAATGAGACTGACACCCACGGAGGCTGAGCTTGGTGGCAAGCTAGTCAGCGTTTTCTTGATGGCACAAATGATGAGCAACCTCCACTTCCTCCACTTCGAGAGCCATCACCTCACCCAGAGCCATCACCTGATCGACCCGACTATACACCTCTACAACGAGAGCCATCACCTATCCCATCACATCATCGAGCCTCTTCTCCACCATCACCTCATGATAGGAGACCGGCAAAGATGCCACGACTTCTATCTCCCTGTTCTCCACCTCCACGGGATGAGTCAAGGGAGTTACGTGATGAGGTCAATGCCTTGCGTGAGGAGATCGGTACTCTACGCGATAACGATGGTACATGGCGTGTGGAGGTGTCTACTTTACGTGGTGAGGTTGCCGCTCTACGTGAGATGGTAGTATCGTTGCAGAATGAGGTTCATACTCTACGCAACGAGGTAAGTTTAAGATTTTCCATATTTAACTTGATGATAAATTTACTCGTAATTTCACTTAAATTAACCATTTCACTTAAATTAACCATATTTAACTTGATAATAAATTTACTTGTTGCGATTTTCATTTCGCATTGCGATTTTCATTTCGCATTGTGATTTTCTCGTTGCGATAGTCAGTTTCGTGTTGCGATAGTCTATTTTGCCTTCAACATAATGCAGATTGAAAATCAACAAATCAACTATTACATTTCAATCAATTAAACAAGCACAAATAAGAATTATGTACACATCAATTAAACAAATCAACATTTAGAAATCATTTTTTACAAATCAATTAAACAATCAAATAATAATAATAATTCTTATTTCCTCATCAATTATTGAATCAATGAATCAACTTTTGCACCCGTACATCCATTTCACGCAGCTCACTTAAGGATTAACATGCAGAAACCAAACATTTGCTCAAACAAGACTTCCTACACATCTAAAACCTACAAACAACAAATTATTGAATTCTAGGTACTTAACCAAACATTTTCAAACCAAAAGGAGTATATATGTTAACAAAACTTGCATTTGACTTACCAATTAACAATGGATACTTTCATAACGCGGATGCAAGTAGGCAGCGTCTCGAATATATCGCTCTAGCCATATAATGCCAAAACCACAAGCCTACTGCAGCTCTATCTCTATCGGTGGGAGGTAGAAACTCTGTGCTTCCCGTCGTCAAACGCGCCAAGCACATGCATACGAGAGGACCACAATCCCCTCTGGCTCCCGGCGATTGTTGTGGCACGGTCTCGTCTCTGACAACTGTGACATTGAACTTCTTTGGCTTCTTGTGTCCAGAATGAGTCCAATAATTAATCCCATCCAAGAATTTAGCCAAATGAGAGCTCCATCCCTTGATAATATCTCTCAAATCAGACAGTGATATGTAATTTAACATGCTGTCATATACTATTATCTTCAGGGATGGGAGCTGAAGTTGGACGAGAAGCCAATGACGACGTTCCAAAACAGGGATAAACACCTGCAATCATAAGTAATAATTCATTTATTTGCGCACTTATTTATGAACACCTTTAAAAATTTAAAAAATAAACACTAACCTTATCGACCTCCCACCATGCAGGATAAAGTTTAGCTTGTCCATTGCCCAACGAAAATGATTCATCTCGTTGATTCTTCAAGTGAACTACATCGATATGCTGTTTTACAAAAAAAAGACATATATTAGTGAATTACATTAATTTTTAAAAAAATTAATCAAAATCATATATAAGACAATTATAAGACTTACCTCCCCATCGAAATAGCCACTGTCTTCAACCCCTAATAACACACCCCACCAAGACCGATTAAGCAACAAATACATCTCATCGTTGAGTTTGCTTATGTCAGTGTAACACCCTTGACTCCGCTCATGTAGATAAAAATCAACTGCGGTCTTAGCCCAAAGGGTATTATCCAGAATTGTTTCCGGTAGTTGTCTCCTCTCCACTTCAGATACCGGAAGGGTACTAGCCAGTAACTCATACGAGAGCCAACTCTCATCCATCATGTCCGGCAACGGTGGGGGTTTCTCAATAATTCGATATATTACCCCATGTGAATCGGGCTCTGGAATGGTGGGAGGGACCTCTTCAAAGATGACAGTGGCCTCTTGAACGGTGGGGGGGACTCTTGAGGGATGATAGGGGCCTCTTGAACGATTAGAGGGGACTCTTGAGGGATGACAGGTGAGTCGGGCTTCTTCTTGCGGAGTCTTCGCACCATTGGGGTGAACGAAGACGTAATAGCACGTGCACGCCGTCTGATGCGTGAACTCCGTCGTGCAAGGAAAACCCGACGTAAAGCATCCACCTTATCGGGCCGCTAAAAAAAATTAATACATAAATCAGTAAATAAACAGACATGATATTAAACAAAGACAAATATGTTTCAAACTTGCATTGTATTCACCCAAGTCATTATTCTATCATAGTTCACAAAATGCATCAGATAAGATTCCAGAAGTAAGCACTTATATAAACATTTAAAAGGACAACATATATAAACATTCAAGAAGAAGAATAGTTTACTTTCGCAACACGAAACTTACTTTCGCAACGCGAAAATGACTATCGCAACGCGGAAATGACTATCGCAAC